GCAAACTGTTCATCACGATGCGATTGTGCATTTACTCCCTTGCTTTTCATTGACAGACAACAAAATTTTGGTGAGAACCAGTGTGGTCGATAATGGGAGAGTATTGTCAGTGGACTTGAGTGCAAACGATCCGTGTCTGGGCTCCGCATTCGTGATCACTTTGAAAAAGGGGGAGAAAATTGTGCTGGAGAAACCGATCACAAGTCGGACGGAGCGTATCGCGAATGATACTTTGGTTTGTGCCTCGTGTGACTTGATTGTGTCGCTCCCTGACAACATCCGACTTCCCGTGGAATCATCTGACCCGGTGGTTGTTTGGTTTGGGGAGAGTAAGTGTGATGTGCATTCGAGTTATCTGATTGGACAACGGTCTGTTTGAAGTGTTTGCTTATATCGTACAGCTGTCTCCATGGCTTATTTGACTGTGTTCATGTGAATTTACTCGTTGCCGCTTGATTGATCTTCGTGGTGGATATGTTTCGCAGTTTTGCATCGATGTTTGAGCAATGTGCACTGTGAGACAAGCTGTACTGTATGATGATCAATGAATGTCCTCACATTGGTTCTTCGTTGAAGCGTTGCTCAGCGCCACCGGATCGAATTCGAGGATTGATGTGAACTGGAAAATTACATCTCCGACATACAGCAGTCATAGAGTGATTGCGGTCCCGTCCGAAAGCACTAGAACCAACCTGCCAACGGTGCCTGGGACGAGGGAGCATGAACTGGTCGTGACACAACCGGTGGGTAGTGGATCATTCACGAGAGTCTATTGTGGATTGTACGATGTGAAATTGAACGCAGGCGTGACTACAATCACCAAAACGACGGTGACCGTGCGACCGAGTCGTGAGTTTGCCCTTCCTTCCTCCCTTCCTTCCTGTGGGATTTATTCACATGGCACTCTTTTCCATGGTGAATGAGACCGTATTCTGCCGTGTGTATGTTACATCTCGTCTCAAAACCGCTCGATTCCACTTCGTCACCAGAATCATTTGGACATGAATGAATGAAAGAATTTGTTTAATATGTGCATGGTCTACGAAGTCGCGTAACATCCCGATTCTCGATGTATTTCAATGGAGACGTTTAGTAGCTTCACAATTCCAAATATGGCAATGCGAAGTATGTGAGCAGTGCAGTAGCTTTTGCGTTTCTCATTAAACTGTCTCGTCCATCAGTTCCCATTCTACGACCAATCACGTGATACACTTGTTCATGACCGGCACTGACCAATACCGAGCCGGGCCGCTTTGTCCGTGAGCCAGCTTGACATTGTTTGAGGCCATCGTTTATCAGATTGATGTATTTTTACGACCATTCATAAATCGTTAACCCGGTTCCGATCAGCACACACGCTTGTGGGTTCTGATTTGTTGTGTTGGGTTACAGGCCCCTAAACTCACAGTGCATTAGCGTCGCGATTGGATATCGGTCTTAACAACGTTGTCTACGTGAATAAAACACCAATTATGCTGCATTTAATTTCACTACTGCCGTACGCAGCCACAGAGAATGCATCACGTCCGACACGGAATCGATGGAAAACGATATTCAGAGACTGTCTTCAGTTGCTACCTGTGCTCCACCCACAAAATGTGCTTACCGAATCACAGAAAATAAAACTCTTTCACGAATTCCTTGATGATAAAGACCAGAGTCATTTCGACGCATTGCACATGGGTGAGGATAGGACTTTGGATAAAATATTCAATGCAATCAAGTATAGAAACCATTGGCTTGGGTCACTATCAGGGATGGGTTTTCACTGCCACCGAACCATTGTGAACATCAAATTCCTTTTTGACGTATTTCCACTCAAACAAACCGCTCTTTTATAAAGTGTGATGCATCTCCATCTGGAAGTGATACCTTCTTGTGCCATCGCATGGAAGACAAGTGGATAAAATCCGTAGCTTTCGTATCAAGAACACTAGAGCCCGTGGGAAGGAATTACTCTCAATCAGATAGAGAAGCCGTGGCTATAATCATTGTCGTGAAACGATTCCATTTGTACATATGAGGACGTCCGTTCGAGGTATACACCGACCATAAACCCTTCCTTGCTAGCATACTGGGTGAATCGAAGGAAATGCAACAGTCTTACTCGCTAAGCTTGTTGAGATGGCCATCACTCCGAAGTGCATATGAATGCGACCACACATGTTGTGCCAACTGTCTGGTGCTCATCGTGGTGTTCCCTGGATGGAATCTCTAGCAACAAGGTATTGTTGGTGGCTACGGATTGATGATGAAGATATTGAATATTTATTAGAGACGTGTGATGTATGCCAAACGAACCAACATCAAAATCTTCCAGGTTCTGTCCAGTCGTGGCGTTGACCAGATATGCTGTGGCAAAGGATACATGCAGATTAATTTGGCTTACATAACCGGAGTGCCATGCCTCATCATAGTCGATGCCTAGACGAAGTGAGAGGAAGTTTGTCCAATTAGTCATGCTAGGGTTGAGGCTACGATTATCAAGATGCGTTGCTCATTTGCAACATTTCGTATCCCGGATACAATTTGCACAGACAATGGAACACCGCTTACCAGCGACGAGTTTCAAAAACTTCTCCGAAACAATGGAATACAGCACATTCGGTCAGCTTCTTACCAGGCCGCATTGAATGGCTTAGCGGAGCGAGCAGTTCAGATGGTCAAACAAGGCATTCTCAAACTGAGTGCAGTACCACTGCAGACCAGACTGAACTGACTAATTGTGATTATCGAACAGCACCTAGAGAAACTACAGAGCTATCTGCGTCTGAATTATTGTTCAGCCCTACCCTCGGAACAAAGCTGCAACTACTGTTCCCTTCCCCCAGACCAAGAATCGATAGTCAGCAGGAAAAGCTAAATGCAAAATCCTCTCAGACTGAAGACCGCTTGCATAATGAGTCTGATCAGGTTTATACAAGACTTCCAAATGAGTCTGCCTGGTATCCAGCTACAATCGTTTCATTTGCTGGTAACACTGAAACTCTGAAGCTCGCCGACGGACGACCGTTTTGTACACACTCCGACCACGTTTGACTTCGAGCGACTGAAAGTTGCGAAATAGACAATTTCCCATTCAAATTCGACTAACCGACTAGTTCTCCAAGTGCTCCTCGAAAAATCTCAATTGTCCAAACAACAGAGTGTGCTCTGCGAACGGCTGAACGCATCCTTAAACCAGTTGATCGCTTTGGGCTAACAACGTATCACGTTATCCAACAGACAGAGGGTTGCTACATATACGTATTCGTCCATCAGTTCCCATAGATCATCCAATCACGTGATACACTTCCTCATTACACCCAATGACCGATACTCGTCCAGGCCGTTTTGTTCGTGAGCAAGCTTGACCTAGCTTAATCAATCATGTAATCAGTTGATGCGCTCTCACGATCATTCGTTGAAACGTTGAGCCGGTTCCGATCAGCACGCGCTCTTGTGTATTGCAATTACTTGTGTTGGGTTACGGGCCGCCTGAAAATACTGCGCCTTAGCGTCGGGTTGGAGTTCGGTCTTAGCATGCATCTATGCACTGTCTCTCCGATTATCGGGACGTTTTTGAAAGTGGTGAATGCGTTCCCATCAGTGTATTCCTCTAACGGAATTCTGGTCCTTATATTATGGTAATTTGCTTTGGCTTGTACAGCCCAAACTGATCAGTTCTCTTTTGCGGGAGAATGTATGATCGAGAGGCATTCAATTCGAGAGACAATTTCGTCATGTCTTCTCACACTTAGCCGATAAGTGCGATCTAGTTTGCGCACGCTAAACGTGGCTCGCTCGCAGGGGCATAGACGACAACGAAGCGGGTTATTTGATAGGGTATTGATCCAGCGTGAACGCCAGTTGACATAAAACGTGTGATATCTGCGACAGAAGTTCCACTGCAGACACCAATGTTAGTAAAATCGTCCGACGTTCCCGACAGATGAGGCATTCACTAGAACAATAGAGGTGTGATAGAGGGGAGGTGGAAGCCAGCAAGGATTATGCCGTATGGGTTGCTTGAAGTGATAAAGTGACAAAGACAGGAGTTCGAGTAGATTGATGTGAGAATATCCATGACTGTGTGTGGTATTGTCTGCACTAGTGTGCTGATTTTGGTGAAAGCATGCACGGAATATTTCTGTGATTCAACGATGAGCAATGAACTACCACTATTCGATAAAGTTGATTGAATAGCATGTGTTCGTTACAACGAGCAGATCCGATCCGATCGGGCAAATCATGTTTCACAATCTCCATGCTATACGCGTTTGTTTACCAAGATGAAATGTATGATGCAAACTGTTCATCACGATGCGATTGTGCATTTACTCCCTTGCTTTTCATTGACAGACAACAAAATTTTGGTGAGAACCAGTGTGGTCGATAATGGGAGAGTATTGTCAGTGGACTTGAGTGCAAACGATCCGTGTCTGGGCTCCGCATTCGTGATCACTTTGAAAAAGGGGGAGAAAATTGTGCTGGAGAAACCGATCACAAGTCGGACGGAGCGTATCGCGAATGATACTTTGGTTTGTGCCTCGTGTGACTTGATTGTGTCGCTCCCTGACAACATCCGACTTCCCGTGGAATCATCTGACCCGGTGGTTGTTTGGTTTGGGGAGAGTAAGTGTGATGTGCATTCGAGTTATCTGATTGGACAACGGTCTGTTTGAAGTGTTTGCTTATATCGTACAGCTGTCTCCATGGCTTATTTGACTGTGTTCATGTGAATTTACTCGTTGCCGCTTGATTGATCTTCGTGGTGGATATGTTTCGCAGTTTTGCATCGATGTTTGAGCAATGTGCACTGTGAGACAACCTGTACTGTACGATGATCAATTAATGTCCTCACATTGGTTCTTCGTTGAAGCGTTGCTCAGTGCCACCGGATCGAATTCGAGGATTGATGTGAACTGGAAAATTACATCTCCGACATACAGCAGTCATAGAGTGATTGCGGTCCCGTCCGAAAGCACTAGAACCAACCTGCCAACGGTGCCTGGGACGAGGGAGCATGAACTGGTCGTGACACAACCGGTGGGTAGTGGATCATTCACGAGAGTCTATTGTGGATTGTACGATGTGAAATTGAACGCAGGCGTGACTACAATCACCAAAACGACGGTGACCGTGCGACCGAGTCGTGAGTTTGCCCTTCCTTCCTCCCTTCCTTCCTGTGGGATTTATTCACATGGCACTCTTTTCCATGGTGAATGAGACCGTATTCTGCCGTGTGTATGTTACATCTCGTCTCAAAACCGCTCGATTCCACTTCGTCACCAGAATCATTTGGACATGAATGAATGAAATGAATGGAATGTTTAATATGTGCATGGCCCACGTCGCGTAACATCCCGATTTTCGATGTGTATCAATTGAGACGTTTAGTAGCCTTGCACTTTCAATTATGGCAATGTGAAGTATGTGAGCAGTGCAGTAGGTTTTGCCTTTCTCATTAAATTGTCTCGTCCATTAGTTCGCATTCTACGTCTAGTCAAGTGATACACTTGTTCATGACCGGCGCTGACCAATACCGAGCCAGGTAGTTTTGTCCGTGAGCCAGCTTGACATTGTTTGAGGCCATCAGATTGATGTATTCTCACGACCATTCATTAATCGTTAACCCGGTTCCGATCAGCACACACGCTTGTGGGTTCTGATTTGTTGTGTTGTATTACAGGCCCCTAAAATCACAGTGCATTAGCGTCGCGATTGGATATCGGTCTTAACAACGTAGTCTACGTAA